AAAAAAATACCTAAACAAACAAAAAGGAATGAGGAAATGGTCTGAACGCCAAAGTATTTCACAGCGCAAAGTGGCTGAGGTATTTACGGCGTGCTATCTACTGGAGAAAGGCAGGAAAATCTGTATTTCATGAACATGATCACACTGGTTGTCATACTAAACCTTTTAATTGCTTTGCAGCTGTGAGCCTTGTGACCAGGGGGCCTGTTCAATACACACACCTCAAAAAATGAAGCCACTGCTAGTTCAAATATAAAAAGCAGGTCTGTCTCTGGCTTGAGCTGTCCCACGCATGCGTCATTGGCTTTTGAACCTCTTGTGCTAAAATTTAAGATTCAGTTTTTTCACTGAATAAGCAGTGGAGAGGGAGAGAGCTTGACCAAGAAGAGGAGCGAGGCTTGAGAGGGGTGTCTGCTCCTCACTCGCCTCCCCCAGCCTCACTCCTGCTCGCCCCTGCTCGCCTCGCCTTCTCCCTGTCTGTCAGTTGCCTGAAAACCCTAGAAAGTCTCCAACACATCACCAGCCCTGTCTCCCGTGTTCACCGAGGAGGCTTGCCCTTCGGGCGCTTCCTGCTCAGATACACGGGCCTTCTCCTGGGCAGCTCGGTGCAGAGCAGGCGTGGCACTTGGGCAGGCGTCAGCAAGTTGTCCTGCAAGTCCACGGAGTAAAGATGTCTGACTCTGAGGGCCTAGCGGCTTCTTTCTCCACTACCCACAAGCTACTCCCCTTGGCCTTACAGTTAAAATCAGATGATACACATGTCACTGGGCATGACTGTGTCCCCCAGACATTTTATTCATAAAAACCGACTGGCCAGGCTTGGCCCGTGGGCCCCAGTTTGCTAACTCCTAACATCGGGGAACAAAGTCAGTTGATCATGACTTTTTATCCTGATACACGGCTAGTGGAGAACTCCAAATGGTATTTAGCACACAGTCAGCTAGGAAACTCAGCCCCAAGGAGATGTCCATGAACTCTTACCAGGATACTGAACGGTCAGCCCACAGTAGGTGGCCACGTTGACAAAAAGGACGTGCTTGCCCGAATACTCTTTGAACAGAATTTTCTCCTTGCCATCGAGAGTGACGGCGTCATAATCATAGATGGTGCCCTTCACATCTCTGTAGCAATTCATCTGGAGATTTAAAATAGGAGACGCTGGTAACAACAATTCTTGGCATCTATGTAAAGAATAATGCATGCATTAGCTGGGACCCCAACACACCAAGCAGGCATCTAAAGTGTGGAAGACAAGACTGGAACGTAGGTCCAATGACTTGAAAGCCAAGAGATTTTTGAGTAACCATCAGCTGGGTCTCTCTGCCCATGATTCTCGCAGAGGAAGAGGCCAGGAAGTGTTTGGGTGAGTGGAAAACAGCAGAGATTCACGAGCTGGGAGACCTGGAGATCAGCGAGGCCAGGTAGAAAAGCAAACTGGTATTCAGACCGCATAAAAATGAAGCAACTCATGGTCCCTGAGCCGGAGCACCCTGCCCGGACTCCCTCAGTGACGGGGAGGAATTTAACCGCTGAGTGTTTCAGGCTGGCCTCGTTGCATTTCACTTTCCCTAGGTCTCCTGGCTTCTTAGTCCATGCATCACACGGCGGGGGAGAGAGAGTCTGGCCAGGGACCAGCCATTGCATTGTGTCTCCATTACTGGCCTCAGATGATCTCTGAAAATGGTTGGCTGCTTACTGGACCTGGAGCACCCGGCAAAGTCTTGGGAATCGGGCCTCTCTGGTGGCTCAGTGGGTTACAGTGCAGCACTATGAAGCTATCCGCAACCTCACAGCGTAAGTTCGAGAGTTCGGTCCCCAGCCAGGGAGTGACCCACACAGCGCAGCAGACCCCTCCTGCCTCGCCCGCTGCTCCCCTTGGCAGTGTGTTTCACTCCATCTGTTCTGCTCCCCACTCTGTCTCTGGTGAAACCTCCCACTCCCTGTACCTCTGGCCTGTACCCCAGTTCTGTATGCACCAATCAATCAATCAATAAATACTTCTTTGAAAAAACAAAAAATACACTAGGCTCCTGGAAATGCAATGGAGTAAAAAGGATTTTAGTCAAGCACCCTTTGCCCCACCTAAAGAAGGCAGGAAAGAACTTAAGGTCAAATCAAGCATTTCCCAAACCCACCGGTTTTATTAGGAGCCACCAGGCCGTGGTTACTTGGCGCCTGCTCTTGGGGGAAAGACACTCTGGCCTTGTGCCGCTCCTACGATGCCTATGCTCGTACACACCTGCAAAGCCGAGACCCACGCAAAGACATTATTATGGGAGAGATCACGTCAGCCTCCGTGGTGCCTGGTCCCCAGGTGAGCAATGGGCCCTGCGCCCCCTTTGTCACTACAGTGTCAACGACTGAAAATCATGTGGGGTACAGTAATGCAGGAGGAAGAGAAGCTCGGAAGTCAGACTCCTCGTAGCTCCGCGCGCTTCTGCCCGTCATAGCTGTTCCCAGTTGACGTGTCTGCTATGTCTCAGATACCTCTGGATTCAGCTTCTGTTAAGCCAGTGTTATAGCCGAGGGTCTCCACACTCAGTGATGAGGCACTGGGTAACACAAAAGCCCCATCAACTCTCAAACATAAGTCACCCCCTCGGAGGTAACTGAGCCAGCGTCAGACAGGGAAGATCTTAAGTTGCTTTTTACAGAGCACATCATATGTGTAATAACAACCGTTGGCTCTGGAAGTGGGGGAGGGCAGTTACCTCAAAATTCTGTGCATGACTTTTGACTCCCCCCAGACTTAACTGCTAATGATCCTTGGTATTTTAAGGAGGGGGAGTTGGTGGAAGGATACCCAGGTCCCTTATAATTGATCCTCCTGCCCATGGGTTCTTCCATGGCAGCTGAAGTTGGCTGGGAGCCTGCCCCAGTATCCACAGACACACACCCCAAAAACATATCCTGGTGGACCCAGGCAGTTTGAACCGTATTACTCAAGGATCAACAACATTCTTCACCTCCCACAAGGCAGCTACTATCATCCACAAGTTCAGAGACCAAGTTGAGGCTGATAGAGCCCAGGTGACTTGTCCACGCCACCATGTTGGAAGAGTTTGCTGGGCCCTGGCTGATTCCTGCTAACTCCCACTCAAGTTGTATCCACAAGGCCACTGAGCCACGAACTGGGACGAGGGCTGGGGCCAGAACCCAAGACTCCTGACTCCAAACAGCGTCACTTAGGCCTCTGCTCATGTCCCCATCTTTTATCTTCCTGTGACAACGCTCCAACTTTATCCATCCCTAAGGCTTGTACATAGTGTCCCCTCCTCTTTTGGGGGGCTTGCTGAGCGCTGCAGGGAGCCCCCAACTCAGCCTGTCCTTCAAACCCTGGTCAGACCCGCCCTCACGCCCCAGCTCTGATGAAGACAGGGATGTGGCTGGATGGGGGGCCTCACACCCCTGCCAGGGGAGAACGGCCCCTCCCAGGAGACCTTCCTTTGCTACCCACAGCCAAAGCGAAGAACACCTCTTTGAGGAGAAGGAAAGAAAGGGTTAGGGGAACCGGGGGTCGGCCAGGTCTCCAAGAAGGACCTAAGTGAGAGGAGCCGGTAGGCCCAGGACGACAGTTGAGCCCTGCCCCGCCCTCTCTGAAGTCGCTCACCTTGGTGTTCTCGATCTTGGCCTCTGTCTGCACCACGCAGGCCAGGAGAAGAGGGAAGAGGGAGTAGGCCCCCAGGAGAGCAGTCATGACCCGAGATCCGGACTCCGAGGAGTCTGCGGCGCTTGCGCCCCTCAACAGCCTTTTGACACCGGCTGGCACCGGCTCAAGCGTGCGCAGGCCAATCACAGGTCGCCAAGGCTTGCGGCGTGGGTGGGCGGCGCGGCCGGAATTCACGGCCCCTGCGGCCCGCGTGTGCGCCCGGCGCTCGCCGCCGGCCATGTGGCCGTTTTTGTGAACTGGTGTTGGTTCTGGGCAGGTGGGAGCTGCCAGGCACCTCGCAGACAGCTCCCACAGCGGCGCTGACCAGACCCGCCGCCACGCTCTCCTGGCTTTCGAGACCTGTCACAAGACGGGGGGGCCAGGCCCTCGCTGAGAGGACAGGCCAGACCGGGCCTGAGCTAGGGGAGCCGCTCCCCACACATGTGAGGGAAGCACACTAGTATGTGCCCTTCAGAATGCCTCCAGTGTTTATAAATCACAGAAAAAAGAGCCAGCCCGCTGGGAAACGGGGTGGGTGGGGGAAGAGCACAGCAAGCCCGCTCGGCCTTGGGATGCAGTGTTCTTCCAGCCCAATAACCACAGGGACAGGCTGCATCTATCAGATTGGCCAAGGTTCAAAGAAATTGTTGCAGTTGGTCTTGGTGTGCTGGGGAAGTTCTTACACAGAAGGGGGTGCCGGCGGCTGGGAGGACGCTACCAATTTCGGGGGGTAATCCGCCATTCTGAATACAGTCTTCTTTCAACGTATACAATTCTTCTGAACTTTTAATTTTGATATCATTAAAAGTGTGTAGCAGTTGTCAGCTGTCCCCTTCATCTGCCGGGGTTTGCGGGACCCGTGAAGGGTCATGGAAGTGAGGCTCCATACACAGCCTGGGAACTCCTGGGCTTCTCACACAAACAGCATATTCAACCCCCACCAGCCTCAGCAGACACTTGATCAACCAGACCCTCCTCCTTCCTGTCTACAGTAGTTTTACTTAGTCCAAACTCTGCTTCCCAGCTGGTTACCCTCATGCACAAGCTTACCCCACCCCCCACTTTTTAACTCAACTTTGGGTGCCTGGTTCACCCAAAAGCAATCTCGGAGGGGGGAGTGCGTAACATAATTACAGGAAGGGATGAATCAGCAACTCCCTGGGCTTGAAGGGGGAACAAAGAGACGTCTGAAGTGTTTGCACTGGTCACCCTCCGCCAGCCCCCGGCCCTTCTCCCTCCCCGCCAGGAGCATCCCTGCCTGCTGGCTCTTCTTTCCAACCAGCCCCTTCACCAGCCTGGCTCTTCCAGGCTCACCAAAAACGGTGCTTCTGCTGGGGCTTAGTTCTTGCTGCTGGGGGATTCTGGGCATTCGTGAGCTCTCCGGGAAAACAGAACTTTCGTTACCCCAGATTTCTGATCTGTTCTCAGAGGCCTCAGGGTGAGAGGGGAGAGACCAGAGCGTGGCGTCTGACCCAGGCCACCGAGCCGCGGAACCCTGTGGGACAGGTCCCTGTGTTGCCACCTCCCTGCCCAGGATGCCGCCTCTCCCGCCCTCCACTGTTCAAAGAACTACGGGGACTGAAGTACCAGCTCCCCAAACAATGCGCTTACACGTCCTCGGCCTCGCCAGCCATGTGCATGTCTGCACCTTGCATGCTGTGCCCTGGCGCCCCCCGTGGAAAACTGTGAGGAGGAGAATGTGGACTCCACAGGGCTAATTTTAATGGAAGGGAAATAATTCAGTCTCAGTCTTGGCACTAGACCTGGCCCAAGGTAAACACCCATTGTTGACGCCACTGAATGAAGAAACTGAAGCGCCAACAGAAAACCGATAACCCGAAGTTACGCCCTTGGTGAGGCTGGAATTACACGCTGCTGCTCCTTGCTGTGACGCATTCCTTCCAGTCTTAGCCACCGGTCTCCACTCATCTCACAGCAACTGTGGGCAAGAAGAGCGGAAGCTTGCGCTCTCAACTCTACTTCAGCGGTGGGGTCAAGTGGCCTGACAGCTCCTCCTTCCCCTCCCTGTGTCCTGTTGTGTCGTCTCCCAGGAGGCCAGACCTCTGTCCACCAGAAAAGAGGTTTCAGCTCCCATTTGCAGTGTAAAAGTGGGGCTCAGGAAGGGGAGGTGACTTGGGCAATGTCCCTCAGTGTGCAGACGGAGCACATTAAATCATTCAAATCATTTGCCTTTTCACTACCATACGAAATGCATCAGGACGTGGAGGAAAGTTCGAGAGATCACTGTTCTTTTACATTTATTTTTCACCCTTGTATATTCTTAGCCTTCTGACCTCCTTATCCAAACATGATGAAGTTTGGGGTTCACATCTGATCTAGACTGACTGTGACCCTGAGTTTTCACTGACCCACTTGGCCCCCACACACAGACTTCCTGAATGTCTGTCATGAATGCCAAGCTTCCTTCCCCCAACCTGCTTTGGCTTTTTGGAAGCTACGATGGGGAGGCGGGAGAGGAAGGATGTGTACCCCCATAAGCAGTGTTCTTGTCCATTACTTCTGTCTTAATGACCAGGGGCAGGGCGTGGGAAAGAGAGCTTTGTGCTCAACCACAGACAGGTGGGTACCCCACACCATTCAAAGCCAGCTGCCTCCTGCCTGGAGACCTACCCCTCAAGCCCTTCGCTATTCCCAAGGCAAAAATAAATCGCCCCCTATCACCAACATACAGCAGCAAGCCACAACCAACAACCCCATAGAGCTGTGGAACCCCGAAACACCTCCATCGAGCTCAGTTTATCCATTTATTTAAAAGGGGAGCTGGGGGCCTCCCTGGTGGCACAAGGGGTAAAGTCTCAGCACAGTGAAGCTACTGGCAGCCACTGTAGCATGAGTTCAATCCCCCCACGTGGCCAGCAGACTTTTCCTGTCTCACCAGCTGCTGCCCTCAGCAGTGGATTTCAGCAGATCCTCCTTTTCCTGCTCCTCACTCTGTTTCTGGTGAATCCTCTCATTGCCTACACTCCAGATCTTGTACCAAAATAAATAAACCTTCAAAAAATAATAAATACATTTAAAAAGAAAAAGGGGGATAGAACAGAAAAATCACCCAGTCCCTTAAAAGGCTGATTTCCTAGTACATTTTCTCAGCTTCTGAGAGATTCTAATCACCACCGGTGAGACTGACCTGACCAACATTTATCCCTAGAATGATTGGGGTAAACAATCACTCTGAAACGAGAGTCAGAATCAAGAAACTTCCCCAAATGTAAGCCAGTTTGTGTCCCACAGATCGCGGTTTCCAGACCACAGCTACCCAGGAGAAGCAGATGCTGGATAAAGGGAACAGTCGCCTCGTCCAGGTCACAAGACCAGGCTGGGCACCTCCACAGGGCTGCCCCCAGAAGCCTCTGCCACAATCCATCAGACTGAGACAACAAAGCAGAGGCTGGGCCCAGCGGGGTGTGGGAGCTGGGGGGGGGGGTCCCCAGGGCCCGCATATGAAGGGCTTCAAGGGCTGTGGGAAAACACCTGGACCTGACCTCCCCGTTCCACTAAGGACATGCATTTCATGCAGAAACAGACAGACATATTCTGGCCAAAGACTGTTTTGCCAGGTTCAAGTTTATTCAGTCTTTTGAAACAAATACAGCTATTTCTAGAAGCTTGGAGTTTCTCTTTGACCCGAAGCTACTGGTTTGGAGTCCTGTCTGGAAAACAGCTGCTCCCCACCCTGAAAAACGAAAGCCCCTTGCAAGCCAGGCCTGTGCCATCTAAGAGTCCCCGGAGGGACCCACGAAGGGACAGCCCTCACATATCAGTGCTCAGCACCCCAAGGATCCAGTTCATTCGAAGGATGCTGTGTGGCTCTCGACACTGCTGTGGCTGGCGCTGAAACGTGGTGGGCAAAGAGTTTCATGGTGAATGAGCTCGTACAGGCGACGCTTTCATAAGGAAGGCTTCTCACAAGAAGCAGGCATGCCGAATAAAATATGAGCATGCTGTTGATGGTGCATGTTGAAGGCAGGATCCCCTACCACATACGCAGGGAAATCGCTGCCTGCAGGACCCTCAGGTTCAAGCAGGTGAACACCAGTCACCCCCCACGCTCACCAAGAAACCCCCGGTGCCAGGAACTCAAGCTGTGAGGTCCAGCTTTAAACGGGCCTTGAGAAATTTGTCTCCCGGGGCTGATACTGAACAAAGGATGTGAGAGGTCTCAAAGTCAAATGAGACGTGGTGGGAGGTCGCAGGGGGCACTAGTGGCCCGTGGTGACACCTTATGCATTTCCTTGGACACTGGTGCTCTGAGGTGAGGCAGATACCAGGTGGCAGGGGACCTTAAAGTGCCCAAATGCTGTCTGGGTTCTTCACCCGCGTGCACAATGGCAAGACTGCTCAGGCTCAGGTGTTTAACAAAGGGATTTGCTGAGGAGTTACTCAGGCCAATAATGGCCGTTCACTTTACCCAAAGTTGTGTCCAGTCCTATCCAGCACAAAGACCATTTTGATGGCACCTTTCCCACCACTGAGACATGTAGCAACTTTTCCCAACAACAGGCCACGTGTCTAAGGCATGGCAGCCAGACTCAAGGCCTGGTTCCAACTCAGGAGGACAACAGAAGCCACGACAGGAGATGCTCCCAGAGCCTCAGAACCTTCAGCACAGCACCAGACAAGCGACACTCAGGATGGCAGCCACAGCCACCAAATGACCCGACAAACAGCCTCACACAGCGAAGCCAGGCTGTACCCGCAGCAAAACCAGGAGCCATTTCAGCAGTTCAACTACTTGCAACGCCTCTTCCTGTCCAAGGCTGGCTGCTGAAGACTTCCACATTCAGAAGTTCACAGCAGCCTTCTCCGAGATCAGCCCAGTCTGGGGCTGACATCCACTAGGCCCCAAAATGCTGAAGGAACTGAAACCTGGAACTCAAACCTTGAATCCTTAAGACCCAACAAAACCATCTCCTTCTCTCTCTCTCTCTCTCTCTCTCTCTCTCTCTCTCTCTCTCTCTCTCTCTCTCTCTCTTTCGCTCGCCCTCTCTCAGTCCTTGGCTTCAGTTACAAGGTCACTTCAGATCCCATTTCAGGTAATGTGTATTAACTTAACAATTAAAACACAGTTAGATGTACACACATTCAGGCAGAAAACCTGAAATGTGTGTGGATAGGGCATTTATGGAAGGAAAAAGGGAAGATGAGGTAAGTGAGGAAAGAAGAGCTAATTAATGGTGAAGAGCTTAACTGACTCTTGGTTGTTGACAAAACATCAGTTACTGATTCTCTAGGAAAGATGAAAAGAGAATACAAAATACAAAAGATGAAAGAAAATACAAAGATGAAAAGACAATAGGAAAGATTGTATTCTTGAGCTAAAAGGCCATAATCAGCAGTTCTGATCTAGATGAGTTTTCAAACACTTGTCTGCTTGACAGTTTCTTGAAACACTCCTTCTTGGCCTAGTCCAAAGGTCCTGAAGCTTGTTCAAAGAGGTAATGCAATTTCTCTGTGCTGGTTTCCTGGCTCCATTTTAAAAATGGCTTCACAGGTGACAACTTTTCAGACAAATTTACCCTTCCATTTGGATTCAGGTAGAAATGTTGTTTCTGATGATTCTGATTCAAACCCCAAATTTACATTCTTCTAAAAAGGTAAGGAAGTGGTAAACATTTCTTGTAAATCTGCAGGACCTCAGTTGATTTCAGCTCAGAATAACCCATATGCCAAAGTAAAACTTACTGGCGAGGCCTATTCTGAACATTTTGGGGGGAGGAGAGATCTTTGACCTCCACGTGGCTATTCCTGAGTTCTGTCCTTTTTCATAAACTGAGTTCTGCAAGTTAGTCTCGTGAATTACTGAGACTACGGGGGTTAATGTCGAGAAGCCCAATCTCTAGCTGGTCAACCAGAAGTACAGATGCTTCCGAGAACTTACAACAGGCCCCTGTAGAGGGGATGGTCTGTGGGACTGAGGGCTTAGACTGGAAGGTCCATGCTAACTCTGGGGCTTGGTGTTATAACTGAAGTAAGTTGCTGAACAACCAAATTAGGTGTCCAGAAAATCACAAACACACACGCCACTAGGTCATAAGAGTCCTTGCAGTCAGAAGTTGGACTCTCCCTGGCAAGATCCTGGTCTTCGTGAGCACAAATGTCACTACTGTCCCAAGTCTGTCCCTGCATAGCTGGCTCGGAGGCAGCCTTGAGGGAGATTCAGCCACACATCAAGTAGCACAGAGAGGTGAAGAGGCAAGAAATGGGTCCTCCCTGCTCACCTCGACTTGGTGCAGTGCAGCTGACGTTGGACTCTGACCTCCAGGACATGAGAGGGTAGTTGTGTTCTCTTCCATCACTAAGTATGTGGTGACCTGTCACAGCAGACAAAGGAAACTACTATAGAAGTGGTGCCTGGAAGTAGGCAGCTGCTATGATAAATAACTCAAAAGTTGTAGAGGCTTTGGGATTGGATAATAGGCAGAGGCTGGAAGAGGGTTGAGCTGCTTGGTAGGAAAAACCTAGACTGTCTGGAATGAACTATTGGTAGAACTATGGGCGGTAGATGCTTGTGGTAAGGGCTCACAGGAAACGAGAAACATGATGGGAAAGTGAAATACAGGCTCATGACCCCTTCCTGGCATCTCTCCAAGCTCTAGGTGCCATTGCCATTCTGTCTGGTAAACTCTCCCCTGCTTTCCTCTTATTAGGATGCCTGCAATTGTATCGCGGGTCCTCCCACATAACCCAGGATAATCTCCCCATCTCAAAGCGCTTAATCACATCTGCAAATCTTTGCCACATAAAATTCTTTGCCACATTTAGAGGTTCCAGGAAATAAACCTGATATCTTTGAGGGCCATTGTTTAGGCTATGGTGGAGTTTAGATTCTGGACCAGAGCACACCTGAGTGACTCTCAATCTGAGGAGAGGGGTGCATTTTTTACTAGCAGGGCGCAGAGCAATGCCTGAAGGGCTGACGCTTGGGGCTTTGTCTCATTGGAGGATGTCTGATTCTGTCACCCTCAAGGGAACTCTGGGTATCTCAGATGCCCATGGCTCTGTAGGGATTCTCTGGCACCTCCGCAGTACTCGAAGAGGAGAATAGACACAGGCGATAGCTGAGAAACTCCTTGTTCTTCTTTATACATTGTGCCTTTTGTCTCACCACGCACTAGATTATTCCTGGGAGCAGATGAGGGTGGTGACTCTGTCAGCAGTGACAGTCTGCAGGAGGACACGGTTTCAGGGTCGATGCCTTACGAAGGCTCAGGATTAGGGCCACAGCCAGCCTGAATATGAGGCATTCTCAAGGATGAGGCAACAATGGGCATACATATGGGCAAAAATGAAACTGCAAAGAAACCACCGGAGGCCGTCCCTGCTGGTGCAAGGGGTTAAGTTTCAGCCTATTGGCAGCCACATCAGCACAAGTTCAGTCCTCGGCCAGGGAGGTGACCCATGGCGCAGCAGACCTCTCTCTTGTTCCACTGCTGCTCCCCTCAGCAGTGTATTGCAGTAGATCTGCCTGTTCTGTTCCTCACTCTGTCTCTGGTGAATCCTCTTACCCTCCACATCTCTGGCCTGTATCCCAGTTCTTACATGCATAAATAAATAAAATAAATCTTGAAAATGTGCTTCTCTTGACTTATTTCCACTTTAATGGAATGGACAGAATGAGGTGATAGATGTGCAAATGTAATTTATAATACAAACAGAACGACATTACAAAATTCTGATATACCCAGAACTATGTCTATGTCTCCCACCTGCTGTGTAGAGAGGGAAGTCTCTGAAGTTTCAGGACAGCGAGTCAAAGAAACTGTTCAGGTAGAATGAAGCAGAGGCTAGAATTTCTAGTAAGGGTTCAGGTAAATAAAGAAGCCTGTCATTTTTGGAGTGAGGCTGAGGGACTACACAGCAACAATGAGGGGCTTTGATTTCTTTTTGATCGAAGAAACTGAAGATTAAAGAAGCTGTGTTGAGTGTGGGGACAGGAGGCAGAAATAAGGCAATAGTGAAACCAGAAGGGAACTAGAAACAACTTGGTCCTTCGCTCTGAACTGAAATCTATTTCTGAGAATTAGTATTTGCTCCCCGGGGCTGCCAGAGCAAAGGGCCACAAACTAAATACTGCGGACAGAAGTGGACTGTCTCGCCATCTGGAGAGTGAAGCTGTCTCCAGAGTTGTTTCTTCTAAACCTACAAGGCAGACCCCTTTCTTGCCTCTTCCAGCTGCTGGGCGCCCCGATGGTCCTTATAACAGCATCACCCCTGTTTCCATGTCCATCTCCACGAGGTCACTGGCGATAGAGGCTCAGAGGCACACCCTGCCCCAGGACAACACAATCCGACCTAATTCCACTGGCAGTCACCCCATTTTCAAACAACGGCACAAGCTAAAGGGTGAGGGCAGGCCGTGACTTCATACCAATGTAGAGGAACACATTTCAACACAATCCCCTGTGACCTCAGGAAAATCTTTTCTTCGGCATCTTGTTCATGTTGTCCTTGACTGGCTCAAAGAGCAGTAGCTGACAAGTCAACCTAAGTCATCTAGCCCATGAGCTATTTGCGAAAGGCAGCAAGACTGACCTGAGGTCTAATTCCAGGCTCCCTGGAACCTGATATGTACTCAGAAAGTTGCCTTCGAACATATCAGTGTTCAAAGTTCTTGAAAGAACTTTGAAGTTCTGATCGAAAAAGGTGTCATCCCATCACTTTGAACAAAAACATGTAATTAATACACCAAAAAAATCTCTCAGGAATGACCCCATTCCTGAGCCAAAATCCTGAATGAGATTTGACTTGAAATAGCAAGAGTCTGTCCATCTAGGTAGACGCTGGGTGATGGGGAGAGTTCAAGCTGCCAGAAACAGTATTTATGGAGGGACAGGTATACCTGGAGATTCAGCTGAGGTCAAATCAAAAGGGACTTTAGATGCTCCGGGGGAGAATATCAAACAAGATGTAAGAACCAAGACAAGTTTAACTAAGAACGGTGCCAATGAAACTGACTTTCAGGCAAGTCATAGACGCAGCGTGTAGAGACGGGATCAGAGAAGACCCTGCAATTAAGAACTCAAGCTAAGGGGTGAATGAATGAATGAATGAATGAATGAATAACTGCTGGAAGGAAAAAACAGGAATTGAATTCAGCCAACATTGCTGGAAGATAATGGGGATTGGAGCCAACACCCTTGAGGAGCAGCAAAGGCGAATTGTGGCCCTGAAATGCCTTCAGGAAAGCCACAAGCAGACCTGCCTGCTCCTCTCCTACCGAGTATGGGCCCGGCACTTAGCCTTTCATTGCTGGAGGCCAGACCCATGGGCCCCAAAAGCTTATCCGTGTCAGGTCCCTGGAAGTGGGGAATGAATGAGATTTGGGTTTCAGGGCATTTGGCTTATTGATGAGATATCCGAGAGTCTCTTCATCACTCCAGGACCAGTTATGTAAGGGGAGCAAAATTAAACCAGCTTGCGTGACAGTAAAGATCTGGTCACGACTGATGTGCCACACGGATCCAGCAAGGGTTCTGGAGCAGGAAGGAGGAATTTGCTTTCACACAGTTAGGGGAAGGATGTCCTGAACAAACTCCACGCAGGCTTTGTGGGCCCCCACCCCCACTCCAGACCAAGGCCGTCAAGACATAGATGACTACAAATCCCGCCATCAGGGCAGGGAGGATAATGGGAACTGAGGGTGGAATTAAGCAGCCAGGGCTGGTATAAAACCAGACATGTGGGCTTGGGGCGCTCTTGGCTCTTGGCCTGGCTACTGGCTTTTCACTGGCTCTCAGGGTGCCACTGGGACTCCAGGTTAGCGGAACTGGTCGGACACAAGTTACCTCCCTCTCCTTCTCCCTGGGTTACTCATTTCTTCCTTTCCCCTTCTTTCATCAACCCTTTGTGCCTGCAGCTGAGCCTTATTGTAAGTCCCTTGAAGCCACTGGTGAGGGTACCCATTACATGTGGGGTTACCCAGTAACAAGGCCACATGACCAGCCAGCCAGTGACCTTTGGTCTTCACACATCAAACAGAATGTGTGAATGCTAAATATACTTCTGGCTGCTGACCTGCCATTCCGTCCTGGGTGAGGTCCTTTATGGCTGTTTCCCCATTAGAACTCACCCCAGTCTTGGGCAGAGGATGCTATTATTACCCGACCTGACCAGTAAGAAAACAAAGATGCGATGCAGGCACTTTCTCGCAGCCGGTGGGGGTACTGTCACTTTGCTGTTTAAGTCCAGCCATTTGCTGACCTGAGGGGGGGGCAAGGACTGGGAGCTGGAGAAGATGTAGGTGTCCTGCCAAAGGCTTCTTTTGCACTCTGGGTAGGGAACTGAGCCATAGATTACAGAGCTCTGAGCAGAGCTGAGAAATCCGAGCTCACACCAAGTGTGTTTTCTGCGAGTTCCCAGGAATTCAGCCCCATGGGGCTTCCGCTCAAAAGCAGACCGTCTTGTATGTGAGTCTGGAAGAGGCTGCACAGTGATCAAGCTGAGCAGAGGAATAGACGGGCCTGAGACTGACGGGGAAGAAGCCACCTCAGTGCAGGAGGGCTTTGGCAGATGCAAGGGGAGGCTGGGGAACTGTGTGCCTCTTTCCCAGCCCGAAATTCCCCCAGACCAACGACTTTCTGGTTGTTTCCCCCACTCGGCTCGCAGAATAAACTGGTTGGTGGAGTCAGAGGGGCAAAATGCTCTCGCTCTCGTCCAGAAAATGGGGTCCCAGCTCAGGGCAGTGCGCGCCTGATAACGTGCCCCTGAGAATGTGCGCCCCGTATCTGTGCTCCTAGCATTAACAAGTTCGGCTAGGGGCGGGGTGGGGGCAACGTGCCTGAGACACCCACGTCCCCGAGTTGGCTTTCATGCGCAAAGGAGACTTGCGGGCTCGAGAGCGCGGCCCCCGCGTCCACCTGCCGCA